TGCCCAGGTGGGTCTTGAACCCGCGGGCTCAGGCAGTCCACTCACCTCAGCCTCCCAAAGGTGCAGAATTACAGGCTGAGCCACCGAGCCTGGCTGGTTGGGGAAAATTTAAGAATAGTTTTATAGTTTGGTCATATCTTGGTAGAAAAGATTTAACTAAAACTTTACAAATAAACTGATTTCTAAACTTACTTTCAGTCTCCAGACTTATTTTCATTTTCTTTCTCTAGGCCCGGGATTCTAATTGTGTAACTTCCCACAATTCAGCCATTACCCAGTAACCAGTCTGTCTTATTCCTATTGCCCAGATGTATCATTCTTTTTCTTTCCTTCTTTTCTAAGTGCATGTTAAATTAGATTGTTTTTTACCTTAACTGATGAAAAATGCTTGCTTATATTATGTTTGCCCTCTATAACTGATAAAGTCTGTCTCTCTCTTTTTTTTTAAATACAGTGGATTGTCCTGTTTGCAGGGTTAACATTCCAGAAAATCACATTAATAAGCACTTAGATAGCTGTTTGTCACGTGAAGAGAAGAAGGAAAGCCTGAGAAGGTAAGAAAATTGAGTATAGCCATGGAGCTCCTTTAGCTAGATGACTCTAGTGCTTTATAAACTTGAAAAAAAAATATAGTATTCATTTTATCCTGGTGATCAGTTGTCATATTCCGTTTCCCACTTGCTTTTTTCTTTAATCCTATTGGCCAGCTCTTCTAATTTGTCTCCTATTGTTCTTTTCTCAACTCCCACTTTGCCAAATATAATTAGTTATATTGAATATTTAGTCTGCTACTAAATTTTGACTTAATAAGAAATTAGTAACTTAGAATTCAATTCTTTTAAAGTTTATTTTCTTCTCAGAATTTTAGAACTATCGCAAAGCCCTTTGGCCAAATAAATCAAGATTAAGCACAGAATATAGAACATGTGAAATCTTTCTTTGTTTCTTAGGATGCTCAGAACTTTAAAACATTTAAATAGAATTTTTCAAAACTGTATTTATTTTTAACTAGGCAATTGCATACACATGATACAAGAAGGTGCAAAAGGGTATGTATGCAATGTCATGTCTCCCCCTCCCAACCTCTCAGGTGACATAACTAATAAATTGTCAGCTCAATAGTTGCACCTAAACTACGGTGCTATTCTACCTCCCTTGTACACTCAAGCAACAATAATTTCTTCAAATCCACTATTGATATACATATAAGTTGTTCAGGAATAAAATTTTAATCAGAGTTAAATTGCAAGATATTAAGGAATCAGTAGTCAATGAAGATAGCAACAAAGTAGATGCTGCAAATTAAATGAGTCTGGTGAGGAAAGGTGGAAGAGAAATGAGATGTTAGTTTTGGGAAAGGAGAAAGCAGCCAGAGCAAGGGAAAATTTTGTTTGTAAAAGTAGGGGTTGTTTCAATCTCTTTCCTTCCAGTGGCTCCAGGAAGAGAGCAGGTGATAAATGGAACAAAATGGGAGTACAAGAGATCAAGAGTCCAGTAATGAGGTTATCCTTGACACTCAGAAGGGATTCTTCTGAAACAGAAGGAAAAGGGAAGAGAATAGGTGATGATTCGGAGAGATGTGAAAAAGGAGAGAAGGGAAGCTGAAGAGATTAATAGCATCTGCGAAGTAGGGGTGAATAGAATGTTAGCTTTTATGTTTGATTTGTTTTAAAGGACTTAGAAGAATATTTTCTAATTAATAAGACAGGGCCATCTTACTCTTTTTTATAATTAAAGAAAAGGTGTCGCTTTATGAGTAAATTTGGTATGAATGCTGGTTCCAAAGTACAGAGTCATGCTGTTATAATTTCAAAAAACTAACATATAAAGCACAATGATGCTTTATTAATTTATGGTGGGATATGTATTTGAGTCCAAACCTGGGGCAGTCTTACATGCACAATACTCCCACCTAGTGGTTAAGTTTGTTGAGGAGAATAAAATTGAGATTTTTTTAAGTTGCTTAGTTGGAATGAATGAAGCTGTGTAGTCCTAAGGATTACTTTCCATAAGCCATGAGAATCTGATGCGATCTGCTTTTGCTTTTCTCTTTTGAATTGTTTCTTTTTAAAGAATGAGTTGGACATACAAAAGCTGAGTATTTTCTCCTTGAAGAGTGAGAAATCAGCACTGATACTCTTGCTTGGTTTCCTTTTCTTCTAGATGCATGTGTCATATTTCTGACCCATTTAGTGCTGTCAAAGACATACTCGTCCATGTGTAATTAAGTTCTAATAGTGCTTCCAAATCCTGCTTCAAAGAATGCCAATAGTCTGTCAGTTGCTGTGTAGTATAACTTAGAAGCACTGCCTACTACATCACCCTCTTCGTATATTAAAGGCTCTGAGAAGGCCTGTATTAAGGATAGCTGTTGGGTTTTGTTAAATTCAGTAATTCCTAAATTTGTCCCCCAAACCTTTTCATACACATAACTCCCATCCTGTAAAAACTAGTGTTTCTGAAGACCCATTGAGGGAACCATTGAGCCACATCTCTCTTTAGTTATATCCTGACCCTGTAGTCTGATCACATAAAGGAGATCCTTCCAGTTTTTCAGTTTTCTCCACTACATCCTGACAGGTCATCTCCTGGATGTGAATGACAGCCCTTAACACTTCCATATAAAATCATGTCAGAAGTGATTCAAAGAATGCGCTCTTCCTTTGATGTCCTCCGAGTTTTGAGGCTTCCTAAATATGTTACTCAGTTCCACTGAGTTATGGAAGAAAGATCAATGTTATTCTCATATTTGGGGAAATATTTATCAGGCTTTATATTTTAAAATTTTTGATAGAAATTGTTGATCTTTGGTGGTGCTTTTATTGCAAAGACCAGGGAGCAGTACAGTTCTTCATTAGAATTGTGCAGTCATAGTTTAATCATCAATCCTTGAGAATTGTTTTAGATACATACAGACTTAATGAATTGTCTCTCCCTGTGTGCTTGTATAAACACCTACGAAATGGTTCAGCTATTGCTACCTACTGTGATTTTATTTTGCCATAGTTTTATTAGTCTTGTAGAGTTCAATGGGCTGTCATTATAAAAAGAGTAATTTTTCAGAAAAATATAATGTGTTGGGGGTTTGCAGGTCTTTACACAGCTAAGTAGTTACTTCAGGCTTTTAGACTTTATTAATAGAGCATAAAATGCATACTTCAGGCAGGGAATGGTACTGTTGGTTAACAACAGAGTGTTTTGTTGTTTTCCGACTATATTCAACAATATGTTTCTAAGTATGACTTTTGGGCTTACGCTGAAGAACCTTGTTGAAAATAGAGATTTGAGGTCTCTACTTCAGACCTAAACTACAACTGGTGGATGGTATAGAGAAGAGACCGAGAATCTGCATTTTAAATAGCTCTCCAGGTGATTCTGAGGGACCCAGATTTTAGGAAGAACAGCCGTGTATGAACTAATTAAATACAAATCCTTTCTAAAAGCATCTTCATTGGATAAATCTGTTACTTTCAAGTTTTTATTAATTATCACCTGAATTTTTCCTATTGAACATTTATTTGTTAAGCACCTAATTCCCATAGAGCATGCTATAAATTAGATGAAATGGATTAAAACTCACTACAGAGTTCCTGTTTATGAAATTGTCTCAAGTCATTGATACTTTTAGGTAGCTTGAATTCTAGTCACTTTAAGAAATAAAGTTTATTAACTATGTTTTCTTTTTATGGAGAGAGTAGGAGAAAGTAATTAAGTGTGGCTTTGTTGTAGTTAAAATTATTTAGTGCTTATTTGTATTACTTATATAAATAGAACAAAAAGTTAAGTGGTGATTTTGTTACAGTTATTATAATGTCATATATGTTTATTAATGTAAGTAGTTGTAGTTGAAGAGAATAGAATCCTGTTGTATTTTTTATTGTTTTTATTTGTGTTCTTTGAAGATGATACCATGAGAATGTTATCTACTTGTCAACTTTCTGAATTCTTTTTTCATTGGTGATAATGATTTGGGTAAAGCAACCATCCTAACAAGTCTTCTATTACTCCTCTAGTGCCTTTGCAAAATGAGTGCCTTGGGCTTGAGGGGGCCACTTTGCCTGTGAATCAGAACTTTTTTTAAAGATGCCGTATGTGATAATATATCCTTAAATACATAGACTCAATAGCATTTACACTCTAATCGTCCGAGATAACTGGCTTTTAAAGGGGTTTTGCATGGCAACTGTGGACAAATGGCAGGAAAAACATGGTTTAAGGAGATGGAGAATTGAATAGGTCTATATACGTGTGATTCTAAGTGAAGTCCTCGTGGCATTATTTCACAAGCCTTCCACATATGCCTTTCACATCTTCATCTTTAGGTTTGATTTCTTTTTGAGACATAAGTCTCTCATTTCTGTATTTCATATGTGTTGTGTTAGATGCTTAACTTTATCCACTAACTTGATTCATCTTCTCTTCCCTTTTTATCTTAATTATTCTACCGTTCTCTCAGGCACCCAGGTACTAAGTTAGAAGATAAATTTCCATTTTACATGAAAAGCATTTGATAATTCACAGTAATCCTCAGAGATCTCTTTTTCCCTTTACAGTTCTGTTCACAAAAGGAAGCCACTGCCCAAAACTGTGTATAACTTGCTCTCTGATCGTGATTTAAAGAAAAAGCTGAAACAGCATGGATTATCTACTCAAGGAAATAAACAACAGCTCATTAAAAGGCACCAAGAATTTGTGCACATGTACAATGCCCAGTGTGATTCTTTGCATCCTAAATCAGGTAAAATAGTAAAACAGTGAGTTAGGCTTACCCTCTGGACAAAGCAATTTTGTGTATCTCAGAGATTATAAACCATAGAAAAATTTTTTTAAATGAATAAATTTTTTGTAATAGATAAGACATGCAAATATATTTCTTCAAGAGGTACCTAGAGTATACTCTGGTAAGCCAGCATTCCTCTCAGCCTGTTTTCTAGTCTCTAAATTCCCTCTCAGAGGCTCCACTATTGCCAGTTGCTCATGCGTCTTTTCAGAGGTAGTATGGTGGTGAAGAGTGGATCTGCAGAGCCTGGGTTACAGTCCTAGTGTTTCAGCTTTATGACTGGGTAACTGTGGTCAAGTTATTTGATATCTCTGTACCTCAGTTTTCTTGTTCGTAAAATAAGGGTTATAATACTACTTGCTCCATAATGTTGTTGAGAGGAATAAATGATAAAATATGTCGAGTGCCCAGCATGGTACCTTAGCAAGTAGTTAGCATTCAGTAAATGTTACCATTATGATGATTATATATAGACATATATCATTTTTGTTATATTACAAAATTATTAGTATTTTGTATAGTACACTATTTAATGGTTGGTCCTTTTTATTAATCCACACACATATTTTGGAGTTCTCTATTATTAGCATATTTAGAATTGCCTAATTTGTTAAGCTCAAAGAATAACATGCCAGTGTAAATGTGCACAAACTATAAGTGAATTATAATTTGGTGAATTATCACAAAGTAAACTTCAAAAAGTGAAAATGCCTTTTTACCCACTACTGAGATCACTGCCAGTGTCGTGCACGTGATCTAAGTAGTGGGTACTGAGTAGAAGTGATCTCAGTAGTAGCTACTCCATCTTCCCCTCCCACTCACTACCTCCTTCATTCTCACATTTGACTACTATCACTTTTTATTTTTTTAGAAAGCAGGATTTATTGAGAGGCAAAAAAGTTCCCACAGTGGGAGGGGACCTGAAGGGGTTGCCCGACTACTGTCACTTCTAACACCATATATTCATTTTGCCTATGTTTGATCTTTAAAAAATGGAATAATAGCCTAGGTGTTCTTTTGCATCTCTCTTCATTTGTACAACATTATAAGATTCATCCATGTTTTTTACGTAGTTGTGTTTTTTTTTCATTTTTGTGCTATATGGTGTTCCAATGTATAGCTATATCCTACTTTATCCATTCAATGGTTAATGGATATCTGGATTTTTTCACTTTTTGTTTATTAAGAATAATGCTGGCTGGGCTTGGTGGCTCAGCCTATAATCCCAGCACTTTGGGAGGCCGAGGCGAGTAGATTGCCTGAGCCCGTGGGTTTGAGACCCGCCCGGGCAACTTGATGAGACTTTGTCTCTACAATAAATAAAAAATTAGCCCAGCGTGGTAGCGTGCACCTGTAGTTCCAGCTACTTGGAAGGCTGAGGCAGAAGGATTGCTAGAGCCCTGCAGGTCAAGGCTGTGGTGGCCGGGGGCGTGCCACTGCACTCCAGTCTGGGTGACAGAGTGAGAATAATGCTGCTATGGATTATCTTTTACATGTCTGTTGGTGCACATAGGAACATAGTACTTTGGGATATATATACCTAAGAGTGGAATTGCTGTTATATATTTGCAGATGTTCAGCTTTCATGGATATAGCCAAAAACTCAACACCAATGTACTTTTTTTAAAAATCAAAATAAGAAATTTCTTTTATTGAAAATGGCATGTCTATAATTATTTTTTGATTGTTTTTTTTTTTTTTTTTTTGTACTTAAATTTTCTCTTTTTAGGGGACAGGTGGTTTAGAAATTTTCCTAGAAGTGCCCTTGGCAGATTTAAATGCTGTTGCTGTTACTATTTTTAGCTAGCCTCATTTTCTCATTTTCTTTCTTTTTTTCTTTCCTTCCTTCCTTCCTTCCTTCACCATTGTGTACTTTCACGTCACCACTGACCCTTCACGTCACCACTGACAGCTTTCCATTTTAGCTATTATAGTGGGTCAGTATTACTTTTAAATTTATGTTTTCCTAATGACTTACAAGTTCAGCACATTTTTATATGGGTATTGGCTATCAGGCTATTCTCTGGTAAAATACCTGTTTAAAACAGTCTTATGCTTAGTTTTCCTATGCTGTGGGTCTATATTTTTCTTATTTATGGGAGTACTTGACATTTTCTGGTTACACATCTTTTGCCAGATATATTATACTTAATTCTTTCTCTATTTTATCTTTTTACTCTTTTAATCATACCATTTGAAGAGTAGAATTTCTTAATATAATTTGATTCTTTATACTTTTCATTTTGGTTATTGCTTTTTATATTCTAGTCTACTGTAAGATCATGAGGATATTCTCTTGTTTTCTTTTAAAAGATTTATTGATTTTTGTTTGTTTGTTTGTTGTTTGTTTTTTGAGTTGGAGTCTCACTCTTTCACCCAGACTGGAGCCTCGACCTGTTGGGCTCCGGTGATGAAAAGATTTATTGATATGCTACATTTCAATCTACAATTTATCTGGAATTGATTTTACCATTATTGTAAAGTTTTTTTTGTTTTTTTCTTTTCTTTTTGATTTATTGTAGAGACAAGGTCTTACCAAGTTGCCCAGGCTGTTCTTGAACTCTGGGCTCAGGCAGTCCTCTTGCCTCAGCCTCCCAAAGTGCTGGGATTACAGACATGAGCCACTGTGCTTGGCCTAGTTTTGTTTTTTTTTTTCCATACAGATAGTGAGTTGATGATGTAGCACCATTTATTGAAAAACTATAATTTCCCCACTGAAGTGTCAGAAGTCTTGGCAATTCAGCTAACTGAATCAGCTCATTGTATATATATGGGCCTGGATATTGTTTTTTTCTTTTTTCTTTCTGTTTTTTCCCCATTAGGCCATTTATTCTTGTGCCAGGAGCACACTGTCTTAAAATTTTATACATATTTTATAGTAGGTCTTTTGCTATCTGGTAATGTGGTTCCTCAAGCATTGTAGTTTATCGAGATTGCCTTGGTTTTTCTAGGCCCTTTGTCTATACGTTTTCCTTTTTTCTTTTTTTGAGTTGGAGTCTCACTCCATCGCCCAGGCTGGAGTGCAGTGGCACGCTCCCGGCCACTGCAGCCTCGACCTGCTGGGCCCCGGCTATCCTTCCACGTAGCTGGAATTACAGGCGTGCACTGCCATGCCCGGCTAATTTTTGATTTATTGAAGAAACAAGGTCTCGCCAAGTTGCCCAGGCAGGTCTTGAACCCGTGGGCTCAGGCAATCCACTCGCCTCGGCCTCCCAAAGTGCTGGGATTACAGGCTGAGCTACTGAACCCTTCCTACATTTTCATGTACATTTTAGAAAAAGCCTGTACATTTCTGTCAAGAAACAAAAAGCTGCTTAGATTTTAATTGGATCTGTAGATAAATTTTGGAATAGTTGATATGTGTATAGTATTTCAGCCTTCCCAATTCATAAATATGGTTTATCCCTTTACTTGCTTTGAGTTTTGTCAGCAGTGTTTTGTGGTTTTCAGTTTTCAGTAATGTTTTATAGTTTTCACTTTTGTAGTTTTGCACACATCTTGAAAAGAGTTATTGTTAGATATCTGATGTCTTTAATGCACTAGTAAATGGTATTCTCTTTTAAAGTGTCAATTTTTGTTTGTATTGTAGAAAAATACAGCTGATTTTTATATATTGTCCTTGTATCCAATGGCTTGTCACTTTTTGTGTGTGCCTTTTTTATTGTGGTTTTATTTACTCAAAATATATCCTTTTAAGGTGTACAGTTAGATGGGTTTTGACAAGTGTATTGTCATGTAGCCCTCACTGTAATTGAAATGTAGAACATTTCCTTTATCCCTCAAAGTTCCTCTGCCCCTTTGCTGTAAATTCCCTCCACTTTACCCTAAGGCCCCAGGAAACACTGGTCTCTTTTTTACCCCTAAAGTTTTGCCTTTTCTAGACTATCACATAAATAAAATTATATAAATTGTATAATATGCAGTCTTATATATCTGGCTTCTTTTACTTAGCACAGTGCTTTTGAGATTTATCCATTTTGTTGCTTTTTTTACTTGTTTGCTGAGCAGTGTTCCTCTTTTACGGCTCTACCACAGTTTGTATGTCCATTTGCCTATTAATGGAAAGCTGGACTATGTCATTTTTTGACTATTGTAGATAAAGCTCTTTTGAATATGGGTCCACAGATCTTTGTGTAGACGTATGTTTTCATTTCTTTTGGGCAAATACCTAGAAGTAGAATTTCTAGGTCATATAGTAACTATTTTAACATTTCAAGGAACTGCCAGACTGTTGTCTAGGAGCGGCTACACCATTTTGCATTCTACTAGCAGTGTATGAGGGTTCCAATGGCTCCATTCCTTGCCAGCACTTGTTATTCTGTCTTTTTTATTATAGCTATCCTAGTGGATGTGCTGTGTCATTGTGGTATTAATTTGCATTATACTGATTGATTTATTTAATGTTTAATTATTCATCTTTAGTAAAAAATTGTGTTCGCATTTCACTTAAGTTGTTGCATCTACAGTCACAAGTGTTTTGTTTTAAATAATATTCTATTGTTAGCCTTTTAATATCTGTGGGATCTGTGGTGATATACTTTCATTTTTGATATTAGAAATGTATCTTTTTTTCTTGATTGGTCCACTTACAAGTTATCAATTTTTCTAAAGAACTAGTCTTGAGTTTCATTTTTCTCAAATTAATTTTTCATTTTTTTGATCTCCTTTCTATTTCATTGAATTCCAGTATCTTTTTTAAAAATTCCAGTCTTTTATTATTTCCTTCTTCCTACTAACTTTGGGTTTAATTTGGTCCTCTTTTCCTAGCTTGCTATGGTAGAAGTTTAGATAATTAATATCATATTATTTTACATATGTAGTTTTAAAAATACACATTTTTCTCTAAGTTCTATGTAACCTGCATCCAAAAACATGGATAGGTTGTATTTGCCTTTTCATTCAGTTAAAATTTTTCTAATTTTTGTTTTTTCTTTGACCTGTAGGTTATGTAGAAGTGT